GAACTGCGCAGCTACCTTGGCTTGCAGATCACCCGGGACAGAGCACGCCGCACCATTACCCTGACTCAGTCACACATGGTGCAGCAGGTCCTTCAGCGCTTCGGCTTCACGTACTCCTCGCCTCAGGCCACTCCTCTGTCTACTCGCCACTCGCTCTCAGCTCTGCCTTCGGATGAGTCCGTAGAGTCGAGTGGCCCGTACCCAGAGCTTGTTGGCTGCCTCATGTACCTGATGACCTGCACACGACCTGACCTTGCATACCCTCTTAGCATTCTTGCACGCTATGTTGCTCTTGGGAGACACAGACCAGAGCACATGGCTGCAGCGAAGAGGGTGTTGCGCTACTTGTGCAGTACGTCGGGCATGGGGCTAGTGCTTGGAGGGCGGAGTCCAGTGGTCCTCACTGGGCACGCGGACGCTTCTTGGGCTGACGACCAGGCTACGCAGCGGTCGTCACAGGGTTACACCTTCAGCCTTGGTTCCGGCTCTGTTTCGTGGCGGGCTACTCGCTCGTCTTCTGTTCTTGGCTCGAGTTGTGAGGCTGAGATCTACGCCGGGGCCATGGCTGCACAGGAGCTTCGCTGGCTCACCTACCTGCTGACCGACCTTGGAGAGCCGCCTCGTTCTCCTCCAGTCCTGTACGTAGACAACAAGGCCATGCTGGCCTTGTGTCGAGAGCAGCGACTGGAGCACAGACAAAGCACATTGCTCTCCGCTACTTCCTTGCTCGTGAGCTACAGCAACGTGGTCAGTTGCGGCTTGCGTACGTGGCCTCTGAGGCCAACACTGCTGATGTCTTCACCAAGGCACTTCCGCCTTGTGATCATCAGCGCTTCTGCACTCAGCTGGGTCTTGTGCCCGTCTTGCCTCACTTGCTCTCCTCTTGACCTTGCCTGTACTCTCACATATATATATACCTGCTCTTGCTTGTCTAGCTTTATATATATGTGTGTACTCTTGCATGTGAACTGGCCGTGTGGCCTTGACCCTGTGCTCGGACTGTGTGGTGACTTTGTGATCCACCCTGAGCTTGCTTTGCTTTACTTTGCTTGACTGGTCTTGTGACCCCTTGTTCTCCCCCACTTTGCCTATGGGGGTGTGTCAGAACATTATAGCTTATGCTGTTGTGTAGGCTATAGTGGGGTATCCCATAGGGGGTACAACCAATTAGGGTTTCATATTTGTACTCACTTCATTTCATAGTTCACCCATTCTTGTTCAAATCTTCTCATATGCGACAAGGTGTTTAGGGCTGATGCTCCCGAATTATATCCCATCCGAATGGGTTTTAGTTTTATTATTGGAAACAAAAATTAACCTTAGAGTTTTGTCCGTCAAAAAATAATATTATTTGGGACATTATGCAATGATCGAACAGTGGACATTCAAATAGTAAAGAAGAAAAAGCAGATGTTTTTACGGGTTATTGAGACTTATCGCAAAACTCTTTCGTAATACTACGGACAAAAAGGCGCGCGATAAATTTTCTCCTGAATCCCTAAAGTGACTCAAGTAGTTACAATTCTCGATTGGGCGTTCCATCTGTAACCAAACATGATAGACTTGTGGGACAAGGTATGACTATCCGTAATAGCATTATGATTACACGCGATAGTTACGAGTTGTACTGTGACTGTTCGTGATACCCCCGTGACCAAATGTGATAAATCGTGCCTAATTGTGACTACCTATATAATTTACCCATGATCCATAGTGGAAAAAAATTATTACACTGCCAGCGTCAGCTGGCTGTGCTATTGAGTCCGCAAGCTGACCGCGGGCAAAGAAAAAAATAAAACCCACTCGGAAGGCATGCCATTTCGGGAGCATCAATCCTAAGGGCGTGTGTGATTTTTGAAATTGCCATAAGTTTATGTTTTTTATTCGATTGTAGCATGTGAACATAAAGTGAACATTTATCGACTTTGAGCCATAGCAAGTTCGAACTGTGGCGCTGTTCTGCAGTCGTTAAATTGCCAGAAACAGGGTTCGCAGAATCTTCCCCAATAAGCGCACTTCTGCCTATCAAGGTTTGGTGATAAGCGCGGTCCTGCCAAACCTTTTTGCGGCAAATTTAACGCTTCAGCCTGGAGAACGCCACTTTTGGGGCACACAAATTTATCGGGGTGGAGGTTCCACAGTGTTGCATCTCCAGGCAAATGTGCGCATAACTTGTGCGCTACCAATTCGGCCTCGAGAGCTAGCATCAGCCAGCACACAAGTTATGCAGGGCAGCCATTTGTGAGATTCAAGAGTTTGAGCGAGCTTCACCCCCTAGCAAATTGGGAGATTAGGCATTTGGAGCGGCCAGAAGCTACAAGAAAGGACAAGTTCCGTACATTTAATGCGGAGGCAATAACATCTACAGAATAGCGCCCGTGTGTGTCAAAGGTGCTTGACTCACCATCACATACGCAAGTGCAAATTTGGAGGTTCGAGATTATAGGGGGTGAACCGAGCCGCCTGTAGAGTGCGTAGTTTACCTGGTGTTTTCCTTTTGACAGCGTGAAAGGTCAACGAAAAATTTACGAGCGTCGCTGCTTCTCGTACGTGCCTGAAATCACACACGTTCGGTTCATCATGCAAATCCACGTTTGGGTAAGATCTCGACTCGTGTTCATTCTTGTATGTTCGCATTTGGTAGTTTCCAGAATGAAGTCAACATTGACGAAACATTTTAGCGACATTGGCGAAACTGGTTACCACATAGAGTTCGACGAATTTTACGAACTCCAAAACAAATCACGCACGCTCTAAAATTTTAGGATTGAGGCTCCCAAATGGCATGCCGTAAGCCATGCGTTTCAGTTTCAGGGCTGCTTGCACATTGCAGTGACAACTGCACGGAACAATCATTGCGCACCGAAAAATGAGACAAAATCGATTTAGTAATTTTACATGTGGACCCATCTTAACGGCATCTATTCACTCGCGCACCTGACTAGATGGCAATATAGGTAGCACTATTCAACCTAAGAATCCAAAAAGGAAAACAAATACAAAGAGTGTAGTGTAAACCATGCATGTTCTGAGAATGTAACTTCCCACAAAACCATCTCAACACTCTTTCCTGAAGTATATACATATCTCGAAAGCGCATGTGCGGTGCATGGGATTGAGAGATATCAAAAAGACGGGTAGCGCGGTGCGAGGGTAGTCCACAGGATCGAGTAAAATTTGAAACACGTCGCGTTGCGCAATTATTTCATAAATAGCCGAACTGCGCACGGTCTGAAGGAGAACAGAACAAGACAAGAATGGGCATTGATAGGGAAAGCTGTTCAGCATCGACGAATATACACCTTGAATTGAGACTCGCCTTGGTTTGCGATGCGACACAATTTTCTTCCGTCTGTTGCATGCATGTCCTCTCAATTTTTTAGACTCAGTGGGGCGCAATTGCGTGAAGCTCAAAGGTGGCAAGCGTGAGTGTGGCATGGATGCGACACCACCTTCCGCCCAAACATCCAGTTTTGTTGGGCAGTGTTATTCAATTCTTATGTTGGCTGGGGGAAGACAAGTTCTGGTCAACTCTGTTCATGTTCAAATTCACCAGTCCTTTCCTTGCTGCCCCACGCTACCCTCGGGTACATTGCGGACAGTGTATCTTGTACAAATCGTACTTAACAGTATTTTTTCATCGTCTGCAAACCTGCCCAGTGCTGTTGGTGGAACTGACTCCTTGTGCCAGCGCGGCTGTCTCAGAAGATTGCGCGGCCTTTTTGAGATCTTGGCAAAGCTCGACAATCCAAGTCCGTGGGACATGAACCACACAAGCATTGGCCAGCCGGTTTGATCCCCTCCCCCAACCCCTCAACGCTTTGGAACGACTGTCTGAACTGAAAAGGCATCCCCTGCCATACCCAAGCCTTAGGAACTGTGTTCAGCAGTCTCAAGTCTCAGGTACTGAGAAAGTTGCTCTGATCTCAACTGAACCACATGGCTCTAGAGTCGTGGTTCGAGCCGTTCGAACGGTTGCAAGTTCCTCAACAGTAACAGCACGTTACAGGTTGGAGAACAAAGCAGGAGCAGCATTCAATGCCTTCGATCGCCTCCCATATCGAGTAGGGACTCGTTTGCGTGGGATTTTTTTTTTTTTTTTTTTTTAACGTTTTTGTCAAATCGGGAGGCATGGTATGCTAGAAAAAAAAGGGAAAAAAAGAACTTTTGTATAACAACTTTGTTAGTAAGTCAGACAGGGTGGGAACAATAGTCAGCTGTCTGACGTTAGTAAGGTAGGGGGGAAAGTGTGGGGGAGCTGGTGGGGAGTGCGATAAGCTTCACAGGGAGGTTACCAGGGAGGAACAGAAAGGAGTGATGGGTTGGTAGCAAAGGAGGGATCATGATAGAGGGAGAATTTTGAAGCTTGGAGGGAGAAGAGGATGGGAAGAATGGAGGAATCATACAAGGCGCCGCACGGAAGTTCATGACATGATATTAATCATAGACACGAGCCTTTGTTCCACTTGACGCTTATTTCCCCCCCCCCCGCTCTCTTGAGCCCTGATGCCATTGATTTGCAGGTCCATCATGGTCAGCCGCTGGTACATGGTCGCATCATCATCTTGCACTTCGTTACTACTACTACGCCCACTCCGTGTAGTACTAGTAGAACTACTAGTAGTGGCTCACTGATAATGCTAATTCCTGGGGTGGAAGCTGGTGCACGGATCTGTTTGCACCTTAAAGCCAGCTTCAGGGTGAAGGTCTCTGCATGCTTCTTGTCTCGCCTGCCTCTCACCTCGGGTGAAGTGGTCATGCCTCAGCGGAGGCTAGACCGATCAAAGCAGCACAGCCAGGGATCCGGACAGCACCAGCATGATCACCGTCAGCAGCAGCAACAAGAAGCATATGAGCAGCCGGAATATCCCAGGGAGCAGGGTGGTGGCAGTAATTCTGGGCATGGTACGGCAAGACAGCATGATGCTTTAGATGCAGGTGCAGAGGAAGGGAAAGGCTTTTTTAACTTCAACATTGCACGCCCTGCTCTCCAGAGAAGCATGGGACAGTCTGGGGCCTATGGCAGGTCGGAAGGATCTCTGGCTGAGCAGCAGCAGCAGCAGCAGCAGCAGCAGCAGCAGCAGCAGCAGCAGCAGCAGCAGCAGCAGCAGCAGCAGCAGCAGCAGCAGCAGCAGCAGCAGCAGCAGCAGCAACAGCACCACCAGCAGCAGCAGCAGCAGCAGCAGCAGCAGCAGCAGCAGCAGCACCAGCACCAGCAGCAGCACCAGCAGCAGCAGCAGAAGCAGCAGCAGCAGCAGCAGCAGCAGCAGCAGCAGCAGCAGCAGCAGCAGCAGCAGCAGCAGCAGCAGCACCACCACCACCACCACCAGCACCAGCAGCAACAGCAGGACCACCTCCACCACCAGAGGCAGCAGCAGCAGCAGCAGCAACAGCATCGTCCTCCTGGGCACCATCCCCATGAGAATCGTCTTAATGAGCACCCTCCGCCACTGCACAATCCACATGCTCACGATCGGCCATCCGAGCATCGCTCTCACAAGCCTGCACAGCAGCGAGGGGAATGGCTGCAGCGGCATCGACGGCCACAGGTGCGAGCTGAAGTGAGGGAGTGCCAGCTTAGACAGGGCGGGGGTGCCGGGCCTCGTGTGGACTGGCTGTCCACTGCAGCGGCTGAGGAATTGACCGGCTTTGCAGCAAGGGGAATGGGGACTGCAGGTATTTTGGGGAGAGATGGTCTGAGGGAGGCTTCTATTAGGGACGGTGAGGAGGGAAGAAAAAAGGGGGACAGAGGGAAGGAAGTGGAAGGATGGGAAGATGGGGAAGGAGGGGAAGGCAGGGAAAGGGGGGAAGGCGGGGAAGGAGGGGAAGGAGAGGAAGGAAGGGAAGGAGGGGAAGGAGAGGAGGTGGGGGAGGGAGGGGAAGGAGGGTCAGATGCGGATGGCATAGCAGCATCAGGTGCAAATGGAGAGGGCGACCTGAGGGACGAGGGGTCAGTGCCTCGGAAGCGGCTGCGGTTGACGAAAGTGCAGTCGCTGCAACTGGAGGAGAAGTTTGCCCTCGTGTCCTCTCCCAACGCTGTACGCCCCTCCCCGCTCTTCCTCCTCGTGTGTGCTGCTTCCGTTCGTGTATCCTCAAGCGTTCCAAATTATATCTCTCTCTGGTACCTTTGCAGTGTGTGCATGTGTGTGTGTGTGTGTGTGTGCGTGCGTGCGTGCTTTCGTGCATGCGTGCGTGCGTGTGTGTGTGTGTGTGTGTGTGTGTGTGTGTGTGTGTGTGTGTGTGTGTGTGTGTGTGTGTGTGTGTGTGTGTGTGCGTGTGTGCGCGCGCGTGCAATTTTTCTTGCCAACGTAGCAAGTGATTGAAGTGAGCTACTAGTGCTAGCATTAGCGACGGTGTCAGTGTGAATACCCTGAAAGCGCAGAGCTTTTCTCTCCGTTCCTCGCAGAGTGCGTTGGTCTAAACGTATATGTGTGCATGTGCTGCAATACCACATGGGGTTTCATTGCATTCCTTTCCTCTGTCCGTTCGCCCGTGACAGGCAGAGAAGGCTGCATTTGCAAGGGAGCTGCAGCTGCAGCCACGGCAGGTGGAGGTGTGGTTCCAGAACCGACGTGCACGGTGAGAAGAAAACTCGGTAACCGGGGATTTAGTGAGAGAGTGGAACAGGTGCGAGAGAGAAGAGTAGGTGAGAGAGGAGTGGAGGTGAGTGAAGAGAGGAGGCGAGAGAGGAGAGACTACGTGAGAGTAAGGAAGGAGGCGAGGGAGAGGAGATCCAACTGAATGACGGGAGGAGAGATTGTGAGGGAGAGGAGAATAGGTAAGAGGGAGGAGAGGAGGTTAGGGAGAGGAGAGTACATAAGAGAGAGGAGAGGATGTGAGGGAGACAGGAATAGGTGAGAGAGAGCGGGGAGGGGAGGAGAGGTGGTGAGGAGGTGAGGAGGTGAGGAGGTGAGGAGGTGAGGTGAGGGAGAGAGGAGTAGATGGGAGAAATTAGAGGAGGTGTGAGAGATAGAATAGGGGATTTGAGGAGAGGAGTGTTGGTGGGAGGAAGGAGAGGAGGTGAGGGAGAGGACAGTAAATGAGAGAGTAGAGAAGAGAAAAGGGAGAGGAGGGTATGTTAGGGATAGGAGAGGAGGTGAGGAGGAGGGTAGGTGAGGGAGAGGAGAATAGGTGAGGGGGAGGAGAGTAAATAGGAGAGATGAGTGGAGATGAGGGAGAGGGGGATAGGTGAGAGAAGGGGGGAAGCGAGTGCTGTGCACTATTTGTGGAGGTAAGCGGAAGCGACATGCGGAATGAATTAATACCAGTCACGCTCGCTCCCTCCCTATCTTTCTACTGTGACTTGACCTAGAATGAGGCCCGTCTGTGGGGATTTGTGCGTAATGAATACTCTCGTCTTGACTCATGCATTGCTGCCTCCTTCATGTAGCGGCAGTCACCGCTGCTTTGAAGCCACAGATTTACCTCCTTGGTCTCTCTCTTGTGTGCGTCCAGTGTGTGGGCATGACACCGCCTGTCTGCCACATCCACTGGGCCTGAGCACCCGGAAGCATCAGCAATATCCTCCTTGGAGATTTCCTTTGTGCATGTGCGTGTGTGTAGCATGCGCTTGTATAAATGCAGCCGTGACACTGATCACGCAGTACTCTTTCCTACTTCCCTATCCTCTACCTTATCCCTGCTGGAGACTGCGTATGTGCCGAGTTTTATATCTCAACTCATCCCATCCCAAGGCTCCTCTGCGTCTGAGTGACAAGTGCTCACCTCGAGCTAATAAACTCGGCCGAGGCAAGCCGAGTAAAACTCGCCGAGTCAGAGAAACTCGTCGCAAGCTAGCTGATTTGCGCATGCATTTTAGTGGCGCGCAGATTTATTTCGGGCTCGGCAAGTCACAGAGGAACTCGTTGCGTCATTGCGAGGGAGGGTGTGGGTTCAAACGAATGACAACATTTCAGTCTCCGAATCATTCTTTGCTGCATTCGTCAAGCATGTTTAGCTCGAACGAGTTGGGCTCGTCCTTCACCAGTTTTGAGGCGCCTCAAAACTAGGCTCGTCCTTCACCAGACGAGGCAAGTTTCACTGGCCTCGTCCATATGCACATGTCTACCCTGCTGTTCTCCCTGTGTATCCAACTTGTATTGCATGTGCACATGTGTGCACTTATGCATGCATGAATGTTTGGATTTGTCTGTCCGTGCACATGTGCGCGAATGGATGTTGCCATGTGTGGATGGGTGTGTGTGTTTATGTGTGTGTATGCATGTGATCAAGTGTGCATGTGTGTTTATGTATGTGATCATGTGTGCGTGTGTGTGCATACGTGTGCATGTGTGCACGTATTCATGTGTGCGCATGTCTGCGCGGGTGTGAACATGTGCGAGTGTGTGTATGTGCGTTCTTGTCTGTGTTCATGCTTGTGCATGTGTGTGCTTGTGCATGTGTGTGCTTGTGCATGTGTATGCATGTGTGTGCATGTGCATGTGGGTGCATGTGCATGTGTGTGCATGTGTGTGCATGTGTGTGCATGTGTGTGCATGTGTGTGCATGTGCATGTGTGTGCATGTGCATGCTTGTGCATGTGTGCATGTGCATGTGCATGTGTGGACCAGGCACCGGCTGCGCCAGGCAGAGGATGACTGTGAGCAGTTGAGGCGGAGGTGTGAGCAGCTGGAGCGGGAGAACGAGCACATACAGCAGCTGCTCTTGCAGGTAATACGGCAAAAAATACTGCTGGATAGTGCGGTCCTTGGTGGGGTTATTGCGGCGAGGAGGGGAGTGCTGTTGGCAGCGAATGTGGGTGGAGTCTTACAGGAGGGCAGGAGTGAGGCAATGGATGTGTGTTGGCAGCATAAGGGGGTGCCCACATTTTCTGCTGCCAGGCTGCTGCCCTTCTGCTGCCCTTCTGCTGCTCTAAAAGCTGTGTCATATTCCTTCTGCTGTTTCCACAGTCGCTCGACTTCCCCGCTCGTCTAGATTCTACTTGCAACTGCCACTAGATCCTACGTTGTCCCTTTTTGTCAGTAGTTAACCCTCACTGGGTTCTCACAAGGCTAATTCCTCTCCTTTCGTCCCTTCATAGCCTGTATCGACAACAAGCACATCCTCTTCCTCCTCCTTCCCTTACCCCCTCTCCCACATCCCAATGCATGCAGAGCTCAGAAGGCCGCAGTGCATCAGGGGTTGCTGCTAGCACCAGAGGCGGGGCAACGGTTTCAAGCCCCCCCCTGTCCAACTCAGGACGAGAAAGCATAAGGGAACGCAGTGACCATGACACATGGCGTGCTACGGACATGCATCGTGATTTGCACGTGCCTCGAGATTTAATGCGCACGGAGAGAGCCATGGGAGACAGCAGCAGACCATCTGACAGCATCACTCTGTGCCCCTCATGCTTGTCGCAGCCCTTGGAAAGCCATGCAGTAGTTTACTCAAGTGGAGTCAGCAGACCAGCAGCAGAGCATGCAGGGCATGCAGATGCTGGTAGCAACCAGGTGGAAACTGGTGTTCACCTGGAAACTTTGACTCCAGGTAGTGGACATGATTTTGACTTGAACCTAACCCTGTGATGTTTGTTTGACTTGTGATGTATGTTTCATTGTTGAAGTGCTTCTATCGAGCATCTTTGAATGGTCTAATAATTTAATGTGTTGTAGCCCCCTGGGTAATTTACCAGGGAAGCAATGTTTTACTCCTGTGCGTATACCCTGTGTAACTAGAGAGTGGGAAGAAAATGTGGCTGACCACAGCCGATTTGTAAGCGTGCTACTGTTCCCTTGCCAACTGCAAACATGTGGCTTAATCTCTCTGCCTTCAACAGCTCTCCTTTCACTTGCTCTATCAAACCACTCGCACCCACGCTTTTGACATACTTCCTCCAATACAAAATCTAATTTACCTACCTTGTATGTTGAAAATCGTTGTAGAGAATAACGGTATAAAGTGTGCTTACGTAAATGTACAACTTGCAATAGGATGCTTTTAGTTGGCGAATCAGAGATAGTTGGTTGGCGTTCCAGAGATAGCTAAATGACAGTATGTTATACAGTATATTCTACTAAATAGGCAGATTGCATAACAGCTTTTATTGCCAAGCTATGTAATCATCTCATACCCCAGCTAAAACGATCAGCTACAAAGAATTCCCTCCAACCTGCGCTAAATAATAAGGCAATGCTACACTCACATTGCAACTGGCTGGACAGCAAGCACAGTCCGCACCGAGTGCCCATCCCCATCCTTCCACGTGAGGCTCCCGTACTTGAACTCCTCTGACATTTTCGTAACCTTCAGAGTCACTGTGTACCACACCTTCTTACCCGCACCAATGGTGAACTTCTTGGGAGAAACCTTAACAGACACCCCTTTGGGAGACTTGATCTTGACCTTGTACGTGGACTTCTTGTCTGCAACATTAGTCACCCGCCGGGTCACGGTCAGATTCCCTTTGAGCCGCGCCACAGCGATGCTAGCACGGTTCAGGTTCCGAGGAGGCATGCGCACAAGCTTTGCATCTGGGAACTCTGTCTGTGTCCTTGAAAGGCTCTGCCCCGCGAGGAAGTTCATGTAATAGGCTGCGCGCGCGTCGTAAGTGAGCCCAGGGTCGAGCACCTTGGGCGGGTACACATGCCCCTGACCCATCTCCCACGGCGTTGCAGAGTCGCCGTTGGAATTCTTGATGTTCTTATCATCGGTGTTGGTCGTGACTGCAGTGGTCATGATGGCAGACATGACCTGCGCAGGGCTCCACTTGGGGTACTTCTGCAGAATGAGAGCGGCGATGCCCGCCAGGTGAGGCGTTGCCATGGAAGTACCAGATTTCTGAGAGTATGACCCTGTCTCGCCGACGGTCTTTCCTGGGGATGCAGCGTACAGTTTCACCCCAGGGCCGACTATATCGGGCTTTAAGATGCTGTTGGTGGGTTGTGCGTTGACGGCATTCATCCAGGGGGGGCAGACGGGGCCTGTGGAGGAGAAGCTTCCGATCCGGGGGGCAACATCGCCCAGAGGGTATGCGGACAGCATGGCAGCTGATGATTCGTTGATAGCCTTGGGAAGGACAGCACCGTTACGCTCGATGGAGCTGCAGGACCAAGGACAAAGGCATTGAGAGGAATCAGTGCAAGGACAAACCAAGAGCAAATCAAGTGCAAATGAGCCGTAGGGCCAGGAATCAGTGCAGTGAATCAGCGAGAAATGCAGCAAGGTATGTAATGCAGAATTGGGGCCCACCAGCTCAGGAAACTGCTTTGGTTATTCTTTCGCGCGGTTGCTGCTGCTCACCTTGCTCCGACAGTTAGGTAGAAAGGTGAGAAGTTGGCAAGGGTTCTGTACGAGTCGAAGGTTGTGCCGTTGGGAGGACCAGAGTTGCCCGCAGCATACGTCACAAACACCCCCGCGAGGTTCGCATTGAGCAGAGGAATCTCATCAAAGTATGAGGCACCCTCATAGAAGCCACCCAGCGAGAGCGAGATCACATCCACGCCGTCCGCCACCGCTTGATCTACGGCTGCCAAGATGTCATCAGAGTTGGCAGTGTTGGAGCCGTTATACGTCCAGAACACCTTGTAGATCGCCAGCCTGGCAGCAGGCGCCATGCCGCTCGCCTTGCCGCCCGCCATAGCCACATCCTTGTTGCCGGCCGCAGCTCTGAGACACAGCACAAGGCGCGAGCAGTGGGATGGGGCGGGATAAACATGAGCTTGAATCGAGGAGTGCGAGGCAGGATGAAGGGAGGCATGGGAGAACCACGAGCGTGACGGGGAGCAAGCAGCGCAGCGCAGCAGGCGGCGGGAGTGAAGAGTCAAGAGCACGCACCCGGCACACCAGGTGCCGTGGCTTCCCGCGTCGCGAGGCGAGAGCCAATCAGCAGTGAGGTCGGGGTCGCTGCCTTTGTCTTTCTTGGCGCCGGCGTAGATGGCACGCGCGCCGATGATCTTGTTGTTGCACTTGAAGTCCGCTGTCGTGTCGCACTTGCCCGTCCATCCCGCTGGCATTGTGGAACTGAAACCCTGTTGGGGTGGAATGAAGGGCGGTGCAGATGGACTCGAGTCAACCGCAGGTGTGGGCCAATGGAGGGGCCAGTTGTGGCACTCCCAGGCCACGCGTTTCAGCATTCATCCGATGGTAATACTTGTTTCTGTACCCAAAATTAGCGGGTAAAATCAGTTTCGCCGATTCCTGCCTCTGCTCCCGCGCATAATAGCCCAACAATTATTCAGGGCGCAGCGCACAGGACATTCTTTCGAAAGTCAGAGTGCGCAATCTGCGTCAAGATGATCATCTCACCGAGTCGCTGAACGACGGGTGCTCTGGCCAGATGCCCGTGTCGACGATCGCGACGACCATGCCGTCACCCGCGCTGCTCTGCCCGCCGTTGTTGGTCCACAGCGACCCATCGCCGCCCATGTTCAGGAACGTGGGCGAGTCGGTCGTGAGGTGCCGCACTTCGTAGCTTTCCCGCACCGACGCCACGGCCGAGTGCCGCCGCAGCTTCCATGCCTGGAGGGGCGTCAGCAGCGCCGCGAACCCGTGCAGCGCGTACTTGAAGCTGGCGGGGACGAGCGGGGGCGACGGGGCGCGGAGGGGGGGAACGGGGGAAGAGCCGCGGAGTGGAGAACCGTCAGGGTTTAGAGTTTATGTTATCAATGTTATCAACTTGATAACGGATTTGGCGGGTGACATGGGCGCCGCAAGCCATTGTCGTAATGATGGTCTCATGACAGGCCTCTCTCACCTGTACGTGATTTCCTCTGCGGAAAGCCCCACAGACGCGGCGATCTGGTTCTGCTGATACTCCAGCAGATTCGCGTGTGTGCGGATCTGCGGGTTCTCCATCGTCAGCCGCGCGCGCCGGGGGATTCCGCGCCCGATCATGGTCCGCGCCTCCGCCGCCAGCGTGGTCGGCGTGGCCATCAGGGAGGCCGGCACGGGGCCGCTACTACCGGCCTGGTCGTCATCCGTCCACCCCGGGTAGATCGAGAAACCCCGGCTATAAGCGGCGAGCGGAAGGGAGGAGTGGAGACGCACGCTGTAGTGCTTGAGGTTGCCTTGACGCGGCGCTGATAGAAAGAGCGCGGGATGGACAGTAGAGAGACAGAAACGAAGCGGCGCTTGATGAGGAGGCTTATGAGGCGTTTTCTTGGAAGGATTCCTGACATGTATTAGCAAGAAAGAACGCGCGGCAGGATACGCGGCTGGAGAAGGCCGCGTTGCGCGAAAAAAAAATCTCCGATTGGGAAGTCGAGCGGTGATTTTCCGCACGTTATCGCCGCCGCAGGGAAAGCCTTGAAAGGATCATTCCGAGGGGTCTTTTCAGTGGAAGTCCGCCGGGTCCCCGACGAGAACTGAATGCGACTGCTCACCTTGAACCAACGCGTCGCATTGGCCGACGGCGACGGCGAGCAGTACGAGGATGGCGATGGCGGCGTCGTGGCGGAAGGGCTTGACTCGATGCGACGCTTGTGGTGCCGCCATCTTCATATGGTGATGGTCTGGCACGACATGGAGAGCACGTGAGATTGCGAGATTCAGAAGGCACGTAAACAAACTGAGGGAAAGCAGCCAAATCTACTCTCACGGACTTACGGGTGACAGGGAGGAGTTAGGAAAACGCTGGCGGCTGTGTTCTTGCTAAAAGCACACAAGGAGTCTGGGGATGACACAACACTGTGCTGAGTGTGTGGTGCGATGTGGGATGGATGGATGGATCATGTACTGTAAATGAGCGCCCTTTTACAGGAAATGGAAACCCAGGGCTTCCCTGCCTCCATACCAGGCGAAAATGTGGTTATGTGTGGTATGGGACGGTTTGGTCCCGAAACGGCGTCCCCTGCGGCTCCCACTGCTCACAATGCCAGAGCCCCTTTTGTGTTGTTTTGTCTATATGTACACCATGTTCTTGTGCCGTGGCTCAGCACCAAAGCTACCTGATGTGCCTTTGATTAGGCATGAGCAAAGTCCGGACCGAACCGGCTCGGCCATTATAGAGCATTCACCGAACCGGCTCGTGCTCGAGACGAACCGGTTCATTTCGAACCGTTCTGGTTCTCAAGCCGGTTCGAGGTTCGGTAATCTAGCAGGAATACCGAACCGAACCGAACCGAATCGGCCATTTTAACCCTTTTTAGCCTTTCGTAACCCCTCCCCGCCTCTCCGTGCCCCTAGTTGAAAGCAAAAAACCGAACCGGTCGAACCGCCAAACCGGCTCGATGACAAACCGGTTCGGCCCGTGGCGAACCTCTTGATCAAAAAAAGGCTGAGGTTCGGTTCGAAGCGAACCGAACCGCGCCGAACCGAACTGTGGCTCGGCTCTTTGCTCTGCCTACCTTTGATTCATGTCTGCCCCAGTTGGGATTCTAGAACACCCTGGCAACACAGGCTGGCGTGTGCTCCAACAGTATTTTTCTTGCACTATTTGAAATAAATACAGAATAAACAGCACGGAAGTAAGATGCGCTTTCAAGTACGGGGTTGGCGTGGCAGAGGTAGGTGGCAAGAGAGCACGACCCAAAAATGAAATTTTACTTAATGTTCTCCGCTATGGAGACTCTGCAGATTTCAGTCCAAACGGAAATCAGATCTACGAGTCACTTAGGGTGTCAGGGCCACAACGACTCCCAGAACTACACCTTTGACAATTTCGAAACAATGGAAATGCTCCTGATCCCTGGGATCAACCAGTATGTGATATCGTTTCGACCGCAAGTTGTAAACAGTGCCTTTCTATCGTGCTTGCGCCTCTTTCTGAACGAAATACCCTCTCAAAGTGTCTCTCCAAATCACTCCGCTCGAAGTTAACCTAATGGTGGTTCTCTGCTGGAGTTTGATGAGTGTGTGTTGTGCTTAGCTGTTGCCGCTCATTATTTGCGCGATATTTTCACGTTCGAACGGTCTTCTCCCTGCCACTTAGAAGGAGAATTATAATTCCAGGTGCACTAGCATTCTGTTCGGGGTAGATGTTCACCACACAAATGTACTGTACAGCATAGTGGTGCACATCTTGAGTAGTGTGTGGGGATGCCGTAGGGCTGCGCTGCGCCGCTATACCGCAGCGCACTCTTTGCCGCGGCAAGAGGAAACCTCGAAAGCGTATCGCGCTGCTTCGGCAGCGTTCCGAAGCAGTGGTTTACGTTCGCTAGGTGAGTTGGGTGAGGACAACTGCGGCGGCCAAGTTGGTATTGATGTAAGGGTGGGGAAGCGACTGGAACCGCCAAGCCGAACCATAGTGCGACATGCGAGCTTTTCGATGATGGACTGTACAAGTGCAGCATTCATCAAACGCGCGAACTTGGGCTACTGTTTGTACAGAGAGATCCAAAGTCGCCATTGCACAGTGGCAATTTATCCTTGTGGATGTGAATGGTCTCATCATCATGCGCACTCAACATTACAAAACATTACCCTGATTTGGTTGGAAATCATGAGCTCTCGATTAGCGGGAACTGTGTGAATGTGTTTTCCCAGTCTCTAACAACTGTAATGAACCTTTACAAAAAAGCATACAGCACACACATAAACACACACGCATAATGGGAGTGGTGGAATGGAATGAGGGGCGGCAGCAGTAGATTACAGGGGCGCGGTGGAAGGAGATGGGGCGGCACCAGTTACGGCGGAATCGGCAGTAGTTAGGGTTGCAGCAGGAGCAGAGGTTGTGGGATTTGAGGCAGGAGAAGGGGTGCGACGAACAGCTGAGGCAGGGACAGAGGCAGGAGCAGAGTCAGGAAACACAGAGGAGGGTCTGGAGGAAACGGTTTCTGGAAGAGGAGGTGTGTGGGGCATGGATGGTGGGAAGGAGGGCCGGGCGGGGTGATGGAGGGTAGTAGGTAAATCTCTGGGAAAAGAAGGACTGGGGGCAGAGAGAGCGGCGTGAGGGTGAGAGTGAGTGGGTGCGAGGTGGGGCTGGTGAAAGTGGAGTGATGGGTGCGCTGCAGCAAGAGAGCCGGATGCGGAATAAGTCGGGTCCGTGCGAGATTTGATTGGTGGGGAAGGGACAGGGGGGATGGAGGAAGGAGGGCGTGTGGAAGGAGGAGGGTGTGAGGAGGGAGGAGGGTGAGAGGAGGGGGGAGGAAGAGAGGAGGGATGAGGATGAGTGGAGGAAGATGGATGAGAGGAGAGGGGATGAGAGGAGGGAGGAGGATGAGAGGAGGGAGAAGGATGGGAGGAGGGAGGAGGGTGGGTGGAAGGAGGAGGATGCGAGGGGGGAGGATGAGAGGAGGGCGGAGGATGAGAGGAGGGGGGAGGATGAGAAGGAGGAGGATGAGAGGAGGGAGAAGGATGAGAGGAAGGAGCAAGATGAGAGGAGGGAGGAGGATGAGAGGAGGGAGGAGGATGAGAGTAGGGGGGAGGATGAGTAGCTTTGGCCTGCTGACCAGCTGAAGACAGCGGGTGAGTTGAACCATGGGAGGAAGGAGCAGAGTGGTGGTAACCGAGCGGTTGCATATAACCCGAGGAGGCGTAGGGCACAGGAGATGCTGAGCCGTGCATGTGTGGCGAGTGTGAATGCACGCCTGGGAGAGTAGACCGGGCGGACGGGCCAGAAGGAGTCGATGGCATGGAGGAGGAGGTGGATGGCCGCATGCTACTGCCTGGCATGCTGCCTGGCATGCTGCTTGGCATGGTGCTTGGCATGCTGCTTCCATGCATGGGCCCACCATACATGGTATACGGTCCCACAGGCCTTCCCATTCCATAGCTCCCGCCGCCATACCCATACGCATGGCTGGTATACCCTGATGCGTCCTGGCTCTGCATGTAACCCTGAGAGTGTGGGCGGGTGTGTGGGTGCGAGTGGGCGTAGTGAGGCGGCACAGGGATGTGGCTAGGGAGATGGCTCGGCGTGAGAGGCAGCAGGTGGGGCGGCAGGAGCGGGCCTTGTGGGGCGCCGCGCATGTACGCTGCTACTTCCTCGGCGTAGTGTGTGTTGATCTCAAACACCAGATGCACACCGCCCATCTGCCCACCACACGGAATCCACCAGAGGGAAGAGGGGAACAACTCAAAGACTCGAGTGGCTGGGATGGGATGAGGTGGCACGGGGTCACGTGGCAAGGGGTGACGTGGCATGGGTTGACGTGGCATGGACAGAGGTGGCATGGAATAATCTGGGATTTCAAGCCCGTCATGCTTGCTATTGCTACACACACACCACCAACCAATGCGAGCAGCATGCATGCAATGGTCGCTGCTGTGCTGACCTCAATGAGGCAGCTGTTAGCGAGGATGGCCTGTTGTCCCGGCTCCACAGGCACCTTGTTGACCGTCACGTCCCTGCGCCCCTCGTTCCTCAGGTAGAAGCACGCATCCGCCCTCAGCTCTATCACCGCCTGCCCAGGAGGAGGGGCGCGGGGGCGTGGAGAAGGGGGGAGGGGAGGGAGGAGAGGAGGGAGGAGGGGAGGGAGGAGAAGAGGGAGGAGGGGAGGGGGGAGAGGAGGAATATGAACTTGTGAGTGCGAACACATGAGGCTGTGAATGAGATCTGATCTGCAGGGCCAGGAAGGTGGGTGGGTGCGTGGGTGCGTGGGTGGGTGGGTGCGTGGGTGCGTGGGTGGGTGGGTGCGTGGGTGCTCACCTGCAGCCGTGAGACCTTGTTGGCACGGCCCTCCTCTGACAGGTCTATGTCCACGTCATTGTCCTCCGTGCGCCGACCTATTGACACCTGGCACGCAGCCATCGGCGCGCAGCACGCAGGTTGCATGAGAAAGGGGAGGGGCAGAGAATGGGAAGAGGGTGGGTTCAATTCAAGGAGGAAATGGGCAAGTGCGTTTTGAGACGACTCATTCCCACTCCAATCACCCACTCCCACTCCCATTCACACCCACACCCATACCCACACCCTCCTAACCCCCACTCCCTTCCTCTTCCACACACACATGCCCACACACGCACGCACCTCGGTCTTGAACATGGGGAAGCGGGTGCGGCGGCCATAGAGCAGCGCGAGGGCGCCTCTGCGCGTGAGCTGCCTGCGCATGGCTGCTGCACTGCGCCGCTCCAGAGGCAGCACCGCGTGGCGCTGCGACCCGTACAGCATGCGCGCCGCTGGTAAATGGCGGAGGAGGAGGAGGTGGGGAGGAGGAGGGGGGGGGTGCGGGTGGGGTAGACAGGTGGGCGCAGAAGGAGGGTGGGTGTGTGGAGACGGGGGAGCAGCACGCGGGAGGGGGAGGGGGAGGGAGCAGAGAGAGCAGTGCGCAGAGAGAAAAGCATGAGGAGTTGGTCATTTGTGAAGAACGGGTACGGAGCTGAGATGCTAGCCTTATGGAAGATGGAGAGGGCGGTGGAGGCAAGGGATGGTTCGAGCCACCTTGCATGCGACCGGCGTGACGTTCAATGCATGCCCCCATCCCCCCCCCATCCGCCCCATCCCCCCCATCCGCCCCATCCGCCCCATGAGTGAGATGGGTGCGTGATGCACCTGTGCGGGCGGGCATGAGCTCGTCAGCAGAGGGATCCAGGTCCATGTCCAGCACCTGGTGCCAGGGGAAGTGGGGAGGGGAGGGGAGGGGAGGGGAGGGGAGGGGAGGGTGTGAGCTCAAGAGGAAAAGTCACGTGATGCAGAACCCGAGTTCATGCCCAAGGGGGTGCAAGGGGGAGCGGGGTCGAAGTGAAACGGAAGGAGAAGGAGGAGCGGATGGTGGTGTGCAGTGCGGGACAGAAGGAGTGAAGCAAGTACTTGCTGCTGAGCTGTGACCTTGAGCTGTGACCTTGAGCTGTGACCTTGAGCTGTGACCTTGAGCTGTGACCTTGAGCTGTGACCTTGAGCTATGACCTTGAGCTGTGACCTTGAGCTGTGACCTTGAGCTGTGACCTTGAGCTGTGACCTTGAGCTGTGACCTTGAGCTGTGACCTTGAGCTGTGACCTTGAGCTGTGACCTTGAGCTGTGACCTTGAGCTGTGACCTTGAGCTGTGACCTTGAGCTGTGACCTTGAGCTGTGACCTTGAGCTGTGACCTTGAGCTGTGACCTTGAGCTGTGACCTTGAGCTGTGACCTTGAGCTGTGACCTTGAGCTGTGACCTTGAGCTGTGACCTTGAGCTGTGACCTCGAGCTGTGACCTTGAGCTGTGACCTTGAGCTGTGACCTTGAGCTGTGACCTTGAGCTGTGACCTTGAGCTGTGACCTTGAGCTGTGACCTTGAGCTGTGACCTTGAGCTGTGACCTTGAGCTGTGACCTTGAGCTGTGACCTTGAGCTGTGACCTTGAGCTGTGACCTTGAGCTGTGACCTTGAGCTGTGACCTTGTGCTGTGACCTTGCTCACCATCTCCTCTGCATCTGAGAAGTGAAGCGAGTCCGTGTCACTCTCTGGCTCCTCCTCCTCCACTTCCCCCGGCCCCCCCTCTTCCCTCACCCTTCTGCCCCTCTGCTCAACACCCCTCCGCACCTCTTCTCCTCCTCCTCTTACCCCCTTCCCTTCTCCTCCTCCGCCTCCGCCTCCACCATCCTCTCCCCTGTCTCGCTGTTCCCCTCCATGCAACGGCACCCCGTCTTGTCCGCCCTGCAGTTCACCCACTAGAGCGCTCACACCACCACTCGCCAGCACACACAGCATGCGGTCAAAACTCGCCTCCTCCTCACCACTTCCACCCACACCCCTCCCCTCTCCATTCCCCACATCCCCTTCCTCTCTCCTCGCATTATCATCATTATCTGCTGCTGCTGCTACTTCTGCGCCTTTTCCTCCACCACCCTCCTCTCTCTGTCTCTTCCTAGCCGCACGCCCCTTCTCCCCTCCGCGACCTTCCTCACCCACACCACCTTCCTCCTCCTCGCAACCCCCCACTTGCTGCCTCCCATCCCCAGCACCCCCTCCCCCTCCCCCTTCTCCCTTCCCACCTTCCTGCCTCCCCATTCTATCATCTCTCCCCCCCACCCCTACCCCAACGGCTCCTACTGCTCTCAACCCACCTCCTCCACGCCCCCCACAGCCGCCCTTCGCGCCATCTCCCTCTCGCCGCTTCCTCATTCTGTAATAAGCAGCACGCACCACTCTTGGCCTCCTCACAACACCCCGGCGCCCCTCGCCCGTCCCCCTGCCCTCTCGCGCTGCTCCTTCCGCCCTGCTTCCATTACCACCGCCAGCAGCAGGCACATGGCGGCTATTCGCAATCAGGCCTGCTGCATTGCCGCCTTGCGAGTGTAGGGAGCGGGAAGCAGGGGTACCAGCACCACCAGCACCACCGGCACCACCAGCACCACCCCCAGCACCACCCCCAGAACGATCATCCAACCCCCCAGCACCAGCAGCGCCACCAGCACCAGCAGTAGCACCAGGAAACACAGCCTCACCTCCAATCGACCTCCCCTCTCCCCTTTCCTCCCCTTCCCCACTCTCCCCCCCCGCTCCCACTCTTCCCCCGCCTTCCCATCCGTCGCCCTCCCCCGCGCCCCTCCCCATGGCCCTGGCGGCGTCTGCCATCTCCGCCTGGGCGATGCGCGCGGCCGCCAGGGGGCTCTCCAGGGGGTGGTACAGCACGGCGCGCCAGCGCGCGCGCAGCTCCTTCAGGGAGAAGCGCCGTGAGAACCGCAGCGCCCCGCGCGCCAGCGCCTCCATGGCTATGCCCGCCTGGGGGGGATGCGCGCGGAGACGAGGGGATGGGGGGGGGAAGGAGGGGAGGGGGGGAGGGCGGTGGGGGAGAGGGAGGGCGGGGGCGGGCAAGGCTTCAGTAGATGCACGCGATGAAAAGGAAGGTGTTCTTTTGGCGGACCGGGTGGATAATTCATGGGGGAAACGGCTAGGGGTTGGGCGGCGGAGTGTGTCCCGTCCCCTCCCCAACGACTGGATCTTCTCTCCTTGAATGGCTCTCGTTGGATGGCTCTATTTGGGCTCCCTCCCTGCGCCACCCCGTCCTTCATACCCCAGTGCTCCCCTCCCTCCCTTCCAGCTTCTAGCCTCTCTGCACTCTTTCCCTTCTCCCCCCGCCCCCCCTTTCCCGAACCACCCATCACCTTCCGCCCTTCCCCCCCCACGCGCGCGCGCACCTCCATGGCGCGCCAGAGCGTGCGGTCGTCCGCGACGGTCCAGCAGGAGAAGTCCGGGGGCGGTTCCACCGCCGCCACCAGCCCGCCCGTGCCCACGCCTGGCGCTGCCGCAGCCGCCACCGCCGCCGCCGCTGCCGTCGCAGCGCGGGATTGCGCTGCGGATCGCGCGCGGGGAGCGGGGCAGAGGGAGTGGGGAGGCGGGAGAATGGGACAGGAGGAAGGGCGGATGTGGGGAGGGTTGGGAGGGGTAAATGGGTGGAGTAATTTGATATGTACAAGGGAAGTGATAGCCCGGCGAATGATCGGAGGAGGAAGGCACGGTGGAACATCACGGTAACATGCGGTGGAGGGGGGCAACGGGGCGCACTGGGGGCGAGCGACGTTTTGAGGCGCTTGATGGGCGACGACGGCGGACTGGACGGCGCGGAGCGCCGCCGCATGGGGGACGACGGCGGACTCAACGGGGAGGGCCGGCGCGCGGAAGGAGCAGGGCGCATGGCGGTAGGTAGGACGATAAGGAGAACAGTCGCGGTACGGTTAGAACGGCGAGATTCGGTCTGCGTTATGACTCGCCGACTGGAGAAAATGAAGTTTGCTCATAAGGTGTTGCCACAGAGCAATAAAATGTCTTGGCGAGGCGCAGTTATCTTTTACGTACTGAGCAGCACCTGACTAATGGTGTGTGTAACTGACATGGGACAGTGTAAAATGGCTGACCTCAAGAGGCCTTCTCCCACACTGAAAAAAATAATTCACTTTTGCACTGCACCTGAATTTAATTCTTAAAAGAAAAAAAATCTTCCTGATTATACTTTGAAGAGCAACTAAAGGCTTAGTACAAGCAAATTGTTTAGTGAATAAGAACTCAGGCTTATACATCTACACTGTCGTGCTGCTTATACAGTGTTTCCAAACACAACACTGTTCGTGGTGGAGGGCAATTTCGGTGCTAGGAGGAAGGAAGTGCATGCCGGAGGCGAAGAAAAAGTCAACAAGTTTATGCTCCCCCTACGACAATGTTCCCCCACCCCACCCCACCCCACCCACCACATCGTGGTGTTGCGCCAACATCCCTTGTCCCCTAGGTTGGGGCAAGGCGACCTTTGCAGCAATTTGCACATGGCCGCCGAGTCGCACCAGATTCAGTCCATCCGATCACCAAACCTGGCCAACCGGAGAAGCCCAGGGTGCTCAGATCTGACGGTGGCCCACGTCACCTCGTGCTCGCGCCCCTACCCACCCATCACCGATCAGGCATAGGTCCAGCCAGGTTTATTCCACACCAAACCGGACACGGCAAGGGAGGAAGAGAGCCCTTCGCGTACAGACGGTGCTGAGGAGGAAAACAGCCCCTCTGCACTGCACTCGCCCACCAGACTACAAATCAGACTCAGCTCCTCCTCTTTCACCTTGATCAACACAACTGGAACCTTCCGTCACCCCAGTGCAGCAGCGCAGACATCTTTTTCTTCAGTTATCAGCCCTTTCGGCTTCCTCTCTTTCGCAGACATCTTTCTTATCTTTTTTGCTATTAGCAGCAGCATCATGGCAAGGCTCGTCACTGCTCTCCTTTGCGTCATGCTCGTAGTGATCTCCGGCGCGGTTGACGTGGCGGAGGCGAGAGTGAACCGCAAGGAGGTGCTACAAGCCATCAAAGTCCTCCGACGCTCGCCACGTCTTCCAAAGGCGCTCGCTTCATCTACGGCCCTCGAGGACCTCTGTAAGTCCGATGCTTCTGATCTACTACTAGTCAGTCTCCTTCCGTGCTATGATGCTACCGCTAAAATAGCGCCAGCGGCTAACCTCCCTGCTTTTCACCATGCAAACGCCATTTCCTGCGTGACTCATAAACGTTTTTCAAATCGGAATCCCGCGTATCATCACGGCCCTGCTGGCCCACATTCTCCAGAAATCCTCTTCTCACCCATGATTCCCCTTCCCCTTCCCCTCCGCCCTGCGATTTCCTCCGCGCAGTTCGCACCGCCATGGGGAGCTCCAGCGGGCCCATGACGCTGCTCGTGCCCGCGGATATGGGATACGTGCAGTCGCGTCTCAACAACTAGGTGTTCACGCTGAAGCAGATGAACACCATTCGCAAGTACCACATCGTGAGCGGGCTCGTCAGAATCGCCGACATCCAGGCGCTGCCACGTGGCAGCACGCTGTCGACCATGGAGGGTTCCGCGATCAAAAAAATTACGCCGCCTACGCTCCCCGTAGTGCTGTTCAAGGGGCGCGACGCGCTGCCGTCGATGGTGGTGGGAGGCGACGCGTATGTGGGGAAGACGCTTGCAGTGCATATCATATCCACCATGCTCATCCCCGCCGACGTCTAGACCATGAAGATCGCACTTTGTTGTTGCGGCGATAGGTACTCCAAGCAGCATCTCGCTGCTTGCTGACTTCTCCTCGGTGCTCTGCTCAGTGTTCTGATTTATTCATGGCATTGCGGTGCCATGCATTGTTTACCCGCGTTTTCCCTGCCATCCCCTATGGTGTCACGCCAGAGGGTGTCCATTGATGTGTGCAGCTGCTTGTTGCGCCAGCCGTTGGATTCTAGCTGGCTGTGTTTTTTTCTGCTTGTACTGAGTGACAGCATAGAGGAGTGCAGGGAAGATAATGTGTATGCTCTGTAGGCCCTTGTATTGCTTCTCTGAATATAATTACTTATTCCAGATTACCGTATTGCTTTTTTTAGTTTCAAGGAGGTGCTGGTGGCTTGGGCTACAAGGTTTTTGGATCTAGGTTCAGCGTCTTGGTTGCTAGGAGAGTCCTAGCCTAGCCAGCTTTTTGTCCTACCTACCTAAGCTCAGTTTCCCCTGATACCAGTACCATCCCTGGACCTACCAGAACAAGGAAGCAGGAGTTCTGGTGGCATTGGTACACAAGCCTTGTCCTAATATAAGTACCGTATGCTTCTTTTGCTGCACAAGCCCAGCAATTAGAGCGTGTTCCTATCCTCGTATCAAGATAACCTCGTATCAGGCTCACACTGAAAATTCCCCTAAACCCAAAACCTCTCACTAGGGGTACCAGGCAAAAACAGCATTGTTGATACGAGGTTTCCTGATATGAGGCCGTAGGAACACGCTCTTAGCACAATGGCGGTGTTCGCCAGCACCTTTGAAAGCAAAAACGACAGGATACTGAGGGATCAGGAAGGGCATTCTCGTCTTCCTGATCCTGTCAGTTAGGGTTCGTTAAGCTCCGTCAGGCTGGTCAGCCCGTAAAAATGCTCCCGAGCCTCTAATGCCGTCCGACCCAAATGGGATTGTTGGTGCTTGGCGAACACCCTCACTTTTCACAAATTTCGGATGGCATCATGCCATTCAGAAATGGCCAAGTAATTTCCTCCCCTGGCAAACGAGACTCCCATGCCATCCCATGGCAATCCACCATTTCACGGAGGATTGCAGTGGGGTGGCGACGTCATTGGCTGTTTGGGCCATATGGGGGGGAGGTGGGGAGGCAGGTTCCATATGCGATTGTCACATTTCCCATTTCGGGGCGGGAAATTTCACGAGTGGCATTTCGCCCAAACCTCTTCGGAGGGTTCCAGCCCCGCTTCCGGATGCTGTGGCCATTCCGATGCCGTCTTTATTTTTTCAAATTTGCATGTGCTGGCGAACATCGCCAATGCTTTGATGCACAAGCCTGTATGGATCCTGCCCTAATGCACAGGCCCTGTGGTTAGCATGCTCTGCTGCATACATCCTGTGGCTCTAGTGCCCGCATGCACATGCCTTGTGGACACTATGTTCAGGTCGTGTAAGCCTGGTTATGTTCTGGTAGGAAGCCCTCTGAATGAGTCCCATGGACCATCCCTGTGATTAGCGTGCCACGAGGCACGAGCCCTGTAATTAGCATGCCACGCACGAGATGTGATTAGCTGTGTTACCCCAGCAACTTTCACCATAGTTAGCCCTGTAATTAGCCCTGTGGTTAGCCCTTTGGTTAGCCCTGTGTTTAGCCCTGTAGTTAGCCCTGTGGTTAGCCCTGTGGTTAGCCCTGTAGCTAGCCCTGTGGTTAGCCCTGTGGTTAGCCCTGTGGTTAACCCTGTGGTTAGCCCTGTGGTTAACCCTGTGGTTAGCCCTGTGGTTGGCCCTGTGGTTAACCCTGTGGTTAGCCCTGTGGTTAGCCCTGTGGTTAGCCCTGTGGTTAGCCCTGTAGCTAGCCCTGTGGTTAGCCCTGTGGTTAGCCCTGTGGTTAACCCTGTGGTTAACCCTGTGGTTAACCCTGTGGTTAGCCCTGTGGTTGGCCCTGTGGTTAACCCTGTGGTTAGCTCTGTGGTTAGCCCTGTGGTTAGCCCTGTGGTTAGCCCTGTGGTTAGCCCTGTGGTTAGCCCTGTGGTTAGCCCTGTGGTTAGCCCTGTAGCTAGCCCTGTGGTTAGCCCTGTGGTTAGCCCTGTGGTTAGCCCTGTGGTTAGCCCTGTGGTTAGCCCTGTGGTTAGCCCTGTGGTTAGCCCTGTGGTTAGCCCTGTGGTTAGCCCTGTGGTTAGCCCTGTGGTTAGCCCTGTGGTTGGCCCTGTGGTTAGCCCTGTGGTTGGCCCTGTGGCTAGCCCTGTGGTTAGCCCTGTGGTTAGCCCTGTGGTTAGCCCTGTGGTTAGCCCTGTGGTTAGCCCTGTGGTTAGCCCTGTGGTTAGTCCTGTGGTTAGCCCTGTGGTTAGCCCTGTGGTTAGCCCTGTGGTTAGCCCTGTGGTTAGCCCTGTGGTTAGCCCTGTGGTTAGCCCTGTGGTTAGCCCTGTGGTTAGCCCTGTGGTTAGCCCTGTGGTTAGCCCTGTAGCTAGCCCTGTGGTTAGCCCTGTGGTTAGCCCTGTGGTTAGCCCTGTGGTTAGCCCTGTGGTTAGCCCTGTGGTTAGCCCTGTGGCTAGCCCTGTGGTTAGCCCTGTGGTTAGCCCTGTGGTTAGCCCTGTGGTTAGCCCTGTGGTTAGCCCTGTGGTTAGCCCTGTGGTTAGCCCTGTGGTTAGCCCTGTGGTTAGCCCTGTGGTTAGCCCTGTGGTTAGCCCTGTGGTTGGCCCTGTGGTTAGCCCTGTGGTTGGCCCTGTGGCTGGCCCTGTGGCTGGCCCTGTGGTTAGCCCTGTGGTTAGCCCTGTGGTTAGCCCTGTGGTTAGCCCTGTGGTTAGCCCTGTGGTTAGCCCTGTGGTTAACCCTGTGGTTAGCCCTGTGGTTAGCCCTGTGGTTAGCCCTGTGGTTAGCCCTGTGGTTAGCCCTGTGGTTAGCCTTGTGGTTAGCCCTGTGGTTAGCCCTGTGGTTAGCCCTGTGGTTAGCCCTGTGGTTAGCCCTGTGGTTAGCCCTGTGGTTAGCCCTGTGGTTAACCCTGTGGTTAGCCCTGTGGTTAGCCCTGTGGTTAGCCCTGTGGTTAGCCCTGTGGTTAGCCCTGTGGTTAGCCCTGTGGTTAGCCCTGTGGTTAGCCCTCTGGCTAGCACGGTGGTTTGCCTAGCCTACGCAGGGGGTTGCTGAGGGGTGGTAGGTCGCAGAGGGAGGTGGGTTGAAGAGGG